GAAGGGAAAGCACCGGAAGAGTGAGCGTATTGTGGGTCAGGTGGCTTCATTCGATTATGATAGCCGCAGATTGTTGACTCTTCATCGGAGAGTATGGGTTCCGTACTGGGCGGTGTACATCAGGTTTTGATGGAGGAGGCCCACAAGTCTAGGTTCTTCATTCATCCCGGGGCGACGAAGATGTATAGAGATCTTCGTCCTGATCATTGGTGGCCCTGCATGAAGTGGGCTGTGGCTTGGTATGTGGAGTGGTGCTTGACTTGCAGGAAAGTCAAGGCCGAGCATTAGCGACTTCACTGTAAGATGCAACCATTGGAGATTCCCGTATGGAAATGGGAGGATATTACCATGGATTTCAGCATGAAGTTACCTAGCACTGCGCGCGGGTGGACTCGATTTGGGTCATCATGGATCGATTGACCAAGAGCGTGCATTTTATCCCGATCCAGGAGAGTGTCTCTGCGGAGAAATTGGTGGAGGTATACATCAGGGAGGTTGTGGCACGACATGGGGTGCCGGTTTCGGTGGTTTCAGACAGAGGTGTTCGGTTTACTTCCAGGTTTTGGAAGAGGTTCCATGATGAGTTGGGTACTCGTCTCCATTTCAGCACAACATTCCATCCGCAGACCGATGGTCAGAGCGAGTGGACTATTCAGATCTTAGAGGATATGCTTCGGGCGTATGTTTTGGACATCGGTGGGAGTTGGGATAAGTATCTTCCGTTAGCGGAATTTTTGTATAACAACAGCTATCACACCAGTATCGATCGACCTCCTTTTGAGATGCTCTACAGGAGGAAATGCAGGCCCTCGATTTGTTGGGATGAGGTCTATCAGCAAGTTATGGGGAGTACCGAGGTGGTACTCAAGACCACTGACTTGATTCAGCAGGTTCAAAGTAGACTCCAGACAGCTCAGAGTCAGCAGAAAAGTTATGCCGACAGACACCGATCAGATCTAGAGTTCCAGGTAGGGGATATGGTTCTCTTGAAGATGTCACCTTGGAAAGGTGTCATCTGATTCAGGAAGAGGGCAAGTTGGGCCCCAGGTATATTGGTCATTTCAGGGTTTTGGCACGGGTGGGCCGGGTTGCATATCGCTTGGATCTTCCAGATGAGCTCAGTCATATTCATAGCACGTTCCATGTCACTCAGCTGTGTAAGTGTTTAGTCGATGATTCCGCAGTGGTTCCATTGGAGGATATTCATGTGGATGGCCGCTTGAATTATATTGAGAGATCGGTGACGATTCTTGACCGGAAGATGAGAACCTTGAGGAACAAGGTTGTTGAGTTGGTGAAAGTCCAGTGGTAGCATCGCAAGGGTTTTGATTGGACGTGGGAGTCGGAAGATGAGATGAGGGAGCACTATCCGGAGTTATTTGGAGCAGCGGACTTCGAGGACGAAGTCTGATTCAAGTGGGGGAGACTTGTAACACTTGAATTTGGTAAGTTTCATATTTAACCTCTTTATCTAAAAGTTTGCAAAGTTGGTCCTTAAGCTAGTATGTGGGGCGTCCTAGGTGGTACGCTTAGCGTACTAGCCTGATTTTGATCGCGCATCCAGTCCACTTACGTTGGGAGTACGTGGAGTACGCATGACGTCCGTGTGAATTATGAAACCCTAATTTCTAGGGTATTGCGCCTTATTTAATCCTTATCATAGCCTCATGTAGTCATGTTTGGACAACCTCCACCTTCCCTTGTCCAGAAATCGAAACCCTAGTGTGTTCTTGAGAGTTTTGAGCCATAAAGAGTGTTTGTTGGTGCTTTGTGAAGGAGAAGAAGAAGTGGACCACTTGGAGTTGTGCTTGGAGCTTGAGGATCCGAGATTAGCTCATCCTTTGCTAGCCTTGTGAAGTAAAAAGCTCAAAACTTTTTAATATATGATGCTAGATATAGTTATGTGGCTATTTTATGCTTTTTGAGTCCTTGGAGTGATTGATGAGCTTCTTGATTCACTCCAGAAGTGTTTGATGGTAGATCTAGGTTTCTTTTGGTCCTTTTTCCATAAAAATGCAAGCTTTGAGGTGTTTATGGACTCATGCATGCATTAAGACCCTTTTTTAAGCTCTTTTGAGCTCTAGAGCCCCATTAAGCCATGCATGCACCTAAAGTTGTCAACTTTACGTGATAAGTCACTGTAAGGAAGTCAGATATGAGAGTATGGAGTAAGGGTTGAGCGGATTAAGTGCTTAATGATGTGGGATGGCCAAGTGGGGAGTACGTTGGGCGTACAAGTTGGTACGCTACGCGTACTAGCCCCAGAGCGTGTATGCTAAGCATACGAGTTGAGTACGCCCCGCGTACTCAACAGTAGGCTTCGAAATTTTAGGCTTTTGGTATTGGGCCCATGTTGGACCTTTGGAGTCTAGGGATTTGTTGGGCCATCAAAATTCTATTTTTGGGCTGATTCTATTTTATTGGACTCTTTTGGTTGAAGGCCCACAAAGGGATTTGGGCACGATTTGGAAGATTGGGCCATATTTGGGCATTTTGGGATAGTTGGCTTGGGCCAAGTTTGGTAAAAGGTAAAAAGGTCTTTTACCCTAGTTTTGACTCTTAGTGTGAGTCGGGATCCAATTATTAATTGGATGTTATTTTATGTTGATAGCACGGGGATTTTAGGAGACCAGCAGCCAGAGATTTATCTGTGAGACTCAACAGCCTGAGGTGAGTTTCTTCACTGTGTTTAGCGGTTCGAAGGTACCAATGCCGACCCATGGTTTATTATGTTAGAATGCTTGGCGTCTACGTGACTCTTGCATATGTATGTAGTGGTATGTATGTCGAGCGGGACTCGATGTCGGGCGAGGCCCGATGACTGTATTGTATGCTATTATCTTTGTGATAATCGCATGTGTTAGTATGATTATGTGTTATATGCTTATATGTGTATCGGGCAAGGTCTGATGTCAGGCGAGGCCTGGTGATTGGCAGTTATGTAAACTGAGCGGGGCTCGATGTCGGGCGTGGCCCGAGGCCGGGTGAGACTCGATGTCGAGCGGGGCCCGATGAAGGGCGGGGGCCTAGTATGTGTTTATTATGTATGGTATGGGGTATTTTGGAGAACTCACTAAGAGGTGTGCTTACAGTTTTCAGTTTATGTTTCAGGTACTTCTGGTTCGAAGGGGAAGAGTCTGGGATGATTGCAGAGCACACACCACTTTATTCCACATTTTGAGATATACTCTGATATTTTATGATGTAGTGATACACTTTGATCTTTCTTGGTTGTATGACAATGTTTTGGAATACCGTTTTATTAATTTTAAATGAAATTTTGGGGTCATATTTTTGGGACGTTGCATAGCAAACCGAAGGAAATTTAGAAACCTCTTCCGTTCAAAGCGTGCAAGAAACCCCGATGCAACTTCCCAACAATCGGACGGGCGAACACACATCAACATCAACGATGATCTGATAGATCTTGAAGATGAGCAACCTCTTCGTCTGCCCACTGGAAGAACTAAAGCAAAGAAAACGACTTCGTCGACTTTGGGATCTAGCATTATTGATCAATTTGGAGAAAATTTTGATCGATATGTTCAACTACAAGAGAGCAAGTTGGTGATGATGAGTCGCATGGAACAAAAAACAATATAAGCGCAAATGCCGATTCAAACAAAAACCAATTTGGAGATATTGAAAATGAAATCAAAGGACTACGAAGGCGAAGACCCGGAGATTTTTCTCGCAATGAAAGAGTCTTTTTAAGCAAAATATAAGAGTAGGGGCAGTTTTTTTATTTATGTTTGGCATTTTTATGTATTTTTTTTAACGTTGTGTTTTTTTAATTAATATATTTTTTTATTAATGTAATGTCTTATTTTAATTGAATGAAAAAACTAGTTTAAGAAAATCTATGTTTGTAATGTAATTTTGATTTAATTTTAATTAAAAAAAATGATATGGAGTGGTATTTTAGTGATAGGTATCTCATAGGTTTAGTAGTTGGATATGATGATGATGTGACATCTACCACTATAATGGTTAACGGATGACCTTAGACTACTCATATTCACAACTAAAATCAACCCAACCATTTATTAAAATATATTTTCTCTTTTATCTATATACCCAGCCAACCAAAACAATTTTTATCAACTCTATTAACAACTCAAACCAATCCAACATTTTATTATTATAAAATAATTTAAACTATACAAAAACATATGAATATTGGTCTAGAGAAAAAATATAAATATGGGTCTATTTTTTATTTTTATTTTTAAAAAGATAAAGCCTAATTTGATATTTATAAGATTTATTTAAGTAAAAAAAAAAAGACAAAAAAACAATTAAAAGCCCAAGACTAGGTTTGGTATTTAAGAAAAAAAAAGACAAAAAACAATTAAAAGCCCAAGACTAGGTCTGGTGGACCGACTCTTTCTCTTTTTAGTTGGCTATTTTTCTTTATTTTCATTTTCTTTTATTCATTTTTGGTGACCAACTAGAAAAATGGTCATCAATGAGAGTCGTCTTAGAGTTTGTGTTGTTAGGTTAAATCGTATTTCAATTGTTCATTAAAAGAATTGAAAATCTAAGTCCGAACTAACAACCCAACACATTTAATTAAAAGAGTTGGATTTTACGACTCAACTCAACTTGTTAAAAGAAACAGATTGACATCAAATTAACTTGTTTTTTTTTTCTTCGACCCAACATGTTTAATAAATATGTTCAACTTGGGTTCACTTTCAAACTTCAATATTTAAATTAAATAAGAAAAAATGTACACATGCTTAAATAAGTTACAAATTTGGATAATTATTTAAAATTTGAAGAAAATACAACCACAAATAAACTGATTCACTTTTACCAACTCAACTTTCATTTTCTATGACTTTCAACCCAAAAAAAAACTAAACAGATTAAATGAGTTGACCCATTTAAAACTCTTTCTTATTCTCCTCTCTTAATGTTAGACATTTGTCTTAATCTAATGAGTGGCAAGACAAAGTAGGTGAATATTTGATTTCTCTTGGTTTAAATATAACAACAATAACAATAACAATACCCATAAGAATAATGTAATAATTAAGATGTCGTTAGACATTACATGTAAGGATTAAAAAAAAAACATAGAAACTGATGTTACACAACACAAAACCCTAGAAATTGGTGTTGAAAGAGACATATTCTTGAAGTCATTTCCCCCTTCTTGGAGCCCTGGTAAACATATCTTTAATGTTATGTGAATTCGTCTCTATTTTTACCTTTTTATTTCGGGTAACTCTCTTGTCACTCCCTACCTGTTCCTGATTTTTTTTCTTTTTTGATATAATAAAAAATGTGAAATAAGTCAGTAAGTCACAACAGAAAATGTTTTATAACAGGGGAAAAACTTAATAAATAAATAAATAAATACAGGGATTTAATATGGTGTTTACACAAACACAATACCTGTGTGGGTTTAAATGAAAATTCAGAAGTTGGTGAAGGAGAAGAGATGATTTCTGTTTTTGGTATCTGAATTTGAACTGCCTCATCAATATTTAGCCTGAAATTTTTCTTTGAATTTGTCATCAGAAAAAAAAAGGTAAATGGAAGATATAGCAATGTACTTTGATCTATATAAAAGATATACCTTTTTACTGAAAATTGATTTGTATAATTGTTATAAACTTATATTTAGAAGAAATTAAAAAAAAAAAAAAAAAAAACAGGATTGTTACAATTAGTACCTAAGATTGTTGCTTAGAAGCTTCAACCATGGCTCATCTTCCATGTATTCACCCAAAATCATAACTGCATCGATCACTGCTCCACAAAAAAAATAATAATAAATAAATAAATGGTTGTTATGGATTTATTCAGTTGGCTTTTTTGTATTTTTGAAAGCAAGATAATTGAATTTATTGCATAAATAATAAAAACATACAACATACATGTTTCCTTCTCAGTTTGAGCAGCATAGTTTTTATCCAGTTTGAGAAGGGTCTGCTTTAGTTGTTGTACCTACCAATCATTAAAAAGTCAAACAGTCAAACCTCAATTTTGAAGTTTGCATTTTGCATAAAAAATGATTCAAGTAGAGATGAAAAAACTACCTTATAATACATCCATGATAAAACCTTTGAGTCATTGAGTCTAAAAAACTTTATGGATCCGATCTCTGATACATAATAAAAGATAAAATAACATCAACAAATGAAAATATAGTATATATAAAAAATGAATCAATGCCAGTTTAAAATAAAATAGCTTTGAAAAACAAAAGTAAAACTACCAAATTTACCTTTACAATCACAAACAACTTCCATTGACTTTTCAGCAATTGATGATAAATGATGATAACCAGGATAATTTTGAATGTAAATGATCTCATCAAGTTGCCTAAACTTCCCTAAATCATTTCCATTCTGCAGGATAAAAAAATGAAGACTTGATTCAATAATATAACAATTAACTTAATTCAATATATTTTTGAGAATATTATTTTTACCAATTGTTAGTACCTTCATTCGTGCTTTATCAAATATTGGCAAAAGAATGAAAACAGGGTCAACTGGAGTAGCAGCATACAATCTACCATCTGTGGACATATAAACAACATTAAAGAAACTTCTTGGAAAAATGTAAATAAAAAAGATCTATAAAGTGATAATGGCATAATGTTCTTATGTGATTATGTAAGTTTACCTTCACTAATATAATCTCCCATGAACCAAGACCCATGAGATTGTTTAAACCAGGTGAGTTCTTGAAGGCCTCCATTCATCATCAGGTAACTTGCAGTCTCTCCTGTTATTCATATGCAAAATTGCAGCTGTAAATGAAAGGTTGAGTTTTGAAGATTTGGAATGCATAATGATACATAGACTGTTAAAAATATACTGCTAGTTGTGTTGTTTAACAAATAAAGGTGATTAATGTAGCAAGTAAATCTGATAACAGAAGGATCTGTAGTAAATCATACAAAGTAAAACACTAAAACTACCAGTTTTTGGATGGCGAAGTTCCAGAAAGTGTCCCATGTCCTCTCCAGTAGCAGAAGGATCTCCTTCTGCAGTAATCATATTAGGACATCGTTAATAATCATGTATTTGGTGGATTCACAGAAGACGCTGAAAAGACTTGTAATTAAATTTAAAGGATAAAGAAACGAGAAATGCACTCGGATGAACATGAAAGGATTGATGGATACCTGATGACGAAACAAGAAGACGAGTGTCCTCCACACCTTCAAACCAATCCATTGCCTGTAGCCTGTAACTTGAGGAGATGGGGAAATGAGGAATTAGGTTTAACATTTTGATTTAATGTCTAGAATCCTACAATCATATAACAGAATTGAAAGATAAACAAGTTTCACATCTGTCATCTAGCTGCTGTTACATACACAGGAAAGAAAAAAAAAAAAAAAAAAAACGAGACAGTGAATGTTTCTACTTTACAGCTCTTATGCATCAATTGATAAATTCAGTGAACCAACAAATTATTCTAACAGAAGCCAGGGAAAAGAAGGAAGAATAAAGCTAGGAAAAAAAAATCAAAAGCAGGAAAAAAACGAAGATAGCAGGAAAAATTGACAAAAATGAACCTAGCAGTGGGGTCTCCGGCGACCGGTGTTGCTGTGGGGTGCGACGGTCTCCAGCCGGTGGCTTCACAGGGGAGAAGGCGGCTCTGATTTGTGTAGATGTATAAGGTTTATTAGGTTAAGGGTATATTTGCTCCAAGTTATTACGCGCCAAAAGTTAAACCCCTCCCTTTCCTATCCCCAATGAAGTGTTTGGTGCAAATTAACCAGATATTTCTCCATCTCAATACCACACCATGCTATATTATTCATTTTTCCCTGTGGGGTCATACCATTATTTTTTTAATAAATATAATTTAATAAAAAAAAACACTTCATTAATTCAATTAAAACATTTACATAGCTAAAAAAATACAATTAAATAAAAACATTATATATAAAACAACAAATTTAAAACAAAAATACTACTTGTAATATTTTTTTATGATGTTCGCTCTAGCCTTTAAAACTATATCGAGTTCGTTTTCGGTGAGGTGATCGAAGGGTTTTGGTAAAAAATTACATATCCCGACTTCTTTGTTTCTCCTCTCGACCTCTTTGCTTCTCCTCTCGAACTTTCTTTTTCTCCTCCAACTTCTCATTTTCAAAATTCAAATGACTCAAAATTCAAGTTATAAATTTCCAAATTACTAACAACTATGTGAATGTCATCTCATCTTCCCGTTCTTGATGTATTCGACGAAGAACCTCTCTTTTTCATCTTCTCTCGACCCATCGGCCGAACTACATCTTCAAGATTGAGCTCATCTACTTTATTCAAATAAACCCCACAATACGCATCCGATGAAATAGTGTAACTCGTCTAGGAACTTTGGTTCTTTTCAAATCACCTTCTTCTCTACCAAAATCTTTTATCCATTTCGGGGACTTGGATAAAAACCTCCAAATATCGAGAAACTTGAACGTGTTCTTATTATTATCAACAAGAAAACAAAAAATAAGGGTCGTCTCTAAAATTTGTTTATCGTATTCCCCACTTTTCCGTTGACTTTCGAGATTGTTGTAAATGTCGTTAAATTTTGTGACATATTTGTTCATCTCGCGAAACTTGCTATTACATTGGTCTTTAGTGTGGTAATCGGCACGACCCGTCGCTCTAAGAAATCACTTTATAACGTGTCGCCAAAAATTGTCAACTTTTTGCGAGTTTCCGATTCTTGAATCCTTAGAAATGTTGACCCATGATATAATGTTAAAAAGTTTTGCCAACCATATAATCCCTTCCCCCTTAACACTTCCATATACTAACAGGAATTTGAGCTCGTGCTATCAATCTCCTCATCATCTACAAGAACTCGACAGTTTTCATCCTTGATATACCTAACGTTACCAATGTCCCTTTGAGTACTCTTTTTAGCTTTTGCTAACTTGTAGATTCCATTATCCCTTTATTTTGTGTCTAAACTCATATATATCTCCTCATATCAAATGATCATTAATTTTTTGGCCACTCATTTGGCCTCCTTGTATATTCTAATATTGTTTGAACTTAGATTCTAAAGATTTGTTTTGTGAGGACTTTTCTAAAGAGATTATGATGCGAATTTAAGTTAATCTCATGGATCATTTGTTTGTAGAGACATTGGGATATGACTCTTATTCTTAATTTCTATGCTAGATCTACTTTCCTCTTGTAATGCCTTCTTGGCTTCATCCTTCGTTGACAAAACATCATAAGTATTTAACTTCGGCCTTTTATTCTTGAAAAGTTTGCTTTTAAAAACAGGTTTGGGAGATAAGTCATCCGAAGTGTACAATTTATGACATCTAGAGCATTGTCAATATTCAAGGTTGTCCAATTTTATCCCATTTAGAAGAGTTTTGATATTTGAATGTGACATGAATGTGGCTTCATCCTTGAAAAAAATCTCAAAGGTGGACTTTGTTTTAGATGGAGAATGTGATATTACAATGGTTGTAAATGTCACATTATTCACAGTTGAAACAAGGGTTGGACTTTCACAGATGATTTCTTCATCATAATCATCTCCTGATGTTTCAAAGATTCCTAAAGTTTCTTGGACAATTTCGTCAATCAAGCAGTTATTGCTTAACTCATGTAGTTTACCGAAGTGACATTAGATATCTTATAGGCATGTCTTGTCACTTACTGGATGAAAGTAAGGTCTGTCTGGTAGGACATAAGGATGGTCGACGTCAAACCTCGGTGGAGAATTTTCTCTGGTAGAAAAGCCAGTTGACCAACCCAAATTATAAGTGTTATCTGTGGACCCATTATTAACAAAAAAAATTATTGCTTCGCTTTCGGTGAAAAGTTTTTCTATTAAAGATTTATACATATATTTTCTGTTGGGGGCTAAATCTCATTTATTGAATGCAATATCTAAATTTTTCTAACTACAAATCCCTCTCTAATAATGTGACCTTAAGCTTCTTGTCTTCTAGGCATTATCTTAAGTTATACAACTCCAGCGTTGCTATGTTACTTTCATCTAAGGCCTTGTCATACATCATCATACATACTTATAAAGCTAGCATTTTTTTATTGAATCTCATGCATTTGAAACCCCTTTTTTTAACTTCCTCAAACCACATTCATTTGAAACTCCCTTTTTTAACTAATGCAACTCAAAAGTTTTCTTAATTATGATTTAACACTCAAACGTTTTATAACTTATATTATGTTTAATTAGCATTTAGTGAAAAGTTTGATATAAAAAGGTCAATCTTTTGGGAAGACATGCATACAAATCATGTACAATCTTCAGAAAGAAAACAAACAAAAAGGTTTTTGTGTTGGATTGAGGTCTTATGACCAATTTTGGAGATATGCTATTATATTAGAGCTTTTAATTATTTGTTTTTATATTTTCTTCGTTTTTGGATTATTGTAATACAGTCGTTGTATATTGTGGTTTAATCGTTAATATATTGATCATATGTTATATAGGGTGATGTCGAAAATATTTAATTAAATATTTTTAAATATGTTTTTTTTTGTTTTGTAACTGTACCGTTTCAAAAAGATAATTAATTAAAACTCATACATATGTTATACTTTCCATCTCTCTCTCTCTATATATATATATATATATATATATATATATATATATATATATATATATACTTTTTTAACTAATGCAACTCAAAAGTTTTCTTAATTATGATTTAACACTCAAAAGTTTTATAACTTATATTATGTTTAATTAGCATTTAGTGAAAAGTTTTCTATAAAAATGTCAATCTTTTGGGAAGACATGCATACAAATCATGTACAAATTTCAGAAAGAAAACAAACAAAAAGGTTTTTGTGTTGGATTGAGGTTTTATGACCACTTTTGGAGATATGCTATTATATTAGAGCTTTTAATTTGTAAGTTTGTTATACTAATTCGTTTTTATATTTTCTTCGTATTTGGATTATTGTAATACAGTCGTTGTATATTGTGGTTTAATCGTTAATATATTGATCATATGTTATATAGGGTGATGTAGAAAATATTTAATTAAATATTTTAAATACGTTTTTTTTTGTTTTGTAATTGTACTGTTTCAAAAAGATAATTAATTAAAACTCATACATATGTTATACTTTCCATCTCTCTATCTCTCTCTCTCTCTCTCTCTCTCTCTCTCTCTCTATATATATATATATATATATATATATATATATATATGTATGACTTCATTCTTAATTTCAATGTTTAATATTTGAAAGTTCATATATGAAACCTTGGATGTTTTGGTGTAATATAAATAGTGTAATACAAAGTTTATTAGTTCAATATTGTTTATTAATAGCTCATTCAGAACAACTTATTTCTTATTTTATCCAAAAAATAGTATCGGACACAAGAAAAGTAGATTATATTAATGTTATACAAAAACTTATAATATATATTGGATATTATAAAAGTAAAAGTAAAGTTTATAAGGTATGAACTATATTAGATAGTATCAAAATATAAATTGATGGATTTTTATGTTATTTGATAATTCAGTTAATGCCCAAAACATGACTAAAAACGCAAATTTCAACATATTTCTATTTTTCCCCATAAATATTTTAACCACTCAAATGCGTTCTTGCGCAACGCGCGAGATTACGCCTAGTTATAATACGTAAGGTTGCCAACACACATTTAAGTAATTCTTTCTATGTGAGGTTCATAATCTTTTAAATCATATTGATTAGAATAGATCATGAATTTTACATGCTCAACGATGTTGATGTCTCCTTCACGTGCCATGAAGCAGTAGTTCTTCTTAATCTTTGATGATCCATCTTCAATATCACCCTCCTTCCTCGCAACCAGACACAACTTTCCTCATTTCCTCTTGTTGTCGTATTCATCATCTTCATCTCCAGACGACCAAACTTGATGATCCCTTCACACATGAACAAAAAATGTTTTCTCTTTCACCATATCCTTTACAACTTAATTCATTCTTAGATAAAATGCATTAATCTTTCACTGTATTAACTTTACAGTCCCTTGCGAAGCGATTCTCCTTATGACAGTGACAAATGAGAACACCTTCCTTATTATCTTCAGCGGTGACCAAAGTTTCTGAGGTTTTGTTATCAAGTGAAGATTCGGTAGAGTTTGTGATCATTAAAGGTGGAGTTGTAGTATGGGGTGGATAAGGTGGATTTCTTGGGTATCTTGAAGGTTGATTGAAATAATGAGGTAGGTTGTTTTGTGGGTTGTAGTTTCGGTTAAAAGGAGGTCGAGTAAACTATTGGTTTTTGTGGTATATGGGAGGTGGAAGTCGGTTGAACTATTGACTTACGATGGTGTGTTGGTAGATTGCGACGAGTGAGCGACAAGAGCTAATGGTCTGCCAAGATCCATACAATCTTTCATCAAAATTGATTCTTGAGCTTGAAGTTCACCGTAGAGTTTGTACAGAGAGAGCGAGAGGGAAAGGGATAGAGAGAGTTTTGATCTTGCTGTCACCTTGAACAATCATCTTTGCCACCGTCTACTATCTTCCTAAACCGTTGAGAAACTAGAGATTTGTTTCATGGTTGCTTCGTGTGGTACCTGCATTTCATAGTATTGTGAAGATGAGGTTGAATCTTTTGAATGAGTCATCAATACTTTCACCAGGAAGAGATTTGAAGTTGTTGAAGTCGTTCAGCACCGTGGTCAGCACCGTGGTCAGCTTCTTATATTAAGCTTGTTCGGTTGCTTCATACATATTCTTGAGAATATCCTAGATTTCTTTCATTGATTCGTAGTTGATGAAAAGATCGTAAGTATCAGGTGGAAGAAGATATTTCATGT